ATTAGTTTAGCATTTATGTGTGTGTGTGTATATATCTACTATATGCTGTATATACATACACAGAAGTACTACAGTTTCTAGCCAACGCACTGATATACCTTGACACCCAGTGTGCTTACCTTCGGTTCACTATTAATTCCGTCTTCTTCCACAGGATGCAATAGTGGCTCTGAGCTACCACCAGGCTGTGTTATATATCTTCTTCGATTTGAAGCAGCCCATCCGAAGAAGCAAGACACCAGCAAGATGTATACAAGTACCACTGATAACTCAATGCATCTAACCTGAAAATATAAATCGATACAATCAAATCCAAGATCATACCAGCTCATTTGTTCTCAAGCAAGAAAGTATACATTATAACCCACACCTTAAGAGGACCGATTCTGATTGAGCAAGAGCCTTCGTCATGGGGGGGCAGGGGTTCGGGACTTGAGCAAGTGGGTGAGGAAGGGCAATCACCACAAGAGCATCCAAGTGATGTGTCACCACATGAATAAACAGATACGTTCATTGAAACCATTGCAGATGACTGAGAAGTAGTTGATTTGAAATTTATTGCATATGGTGAACCAGGGAAGCCAGGTGGTGCTTTCTGACCAATAAACGCAAACCACTCTGAAAAAGAAGAAGGAAAGATGAAATGTGGAACTTTTGAAACAGGGATAAAACGTGTATAGAAGGCTTTGAAACAGAGTGCAAATCACCTCTGAAGTTTTGAGCACCACCACCAACAAAGTTTATGGCACGTGTGTTCATAGTTCCAAATTTCACCTCTTTACAGGATTCGTAAAGCCCTTCTCCAAACGTATCAGTTATGTGATAGTCTATACCATCCACTGTCAAATTTCCACTAACCTAGAATAAATTCCAAAATGCTAGTGTTGTTAACCAGATTACTTAGCTGGTCTCAAGTAACAATCAAAGTGGAACTCATCACGTCAATGAAAGCTAACCTCAGCAACGGAAGTGACGTTGATGAAAAGAGACTGATTGGGAGAGCAAGATAGCTCACAGAAGAGATTTAAGAAGTTCCTTAGGCATGCAGGACAACCCACAAGAAATGGGACAGCCTAAAATAGATTGCATCAACGAAAAACTAGTAAATGGCAAGCTCTATTAGAAGAATAAGAAGAGATGAATGTAGCAAGAAACAAGAGAATGGGAAAACTAGAGAGGAAAAAGTGGTCTGGTTGCAGAGATGAAAAGAGTTATCAAGAGAGTATGAGACTCTGAAAATACGTATCAATGGCTATAAAGAGGTTTCTTGAGAGATGCTAAGGCAAAGAAAAGTCTGACCTGTTGAACTTGAGACCTCAAAGTGTCAAACTGAGTCTCCGTACAGCAGACTTTCCCACTAATGGTTGGACAGAGACTTTGGATTTTGGCAGAAAATAGTTCATCAGGCTGCAGAAACAAATATCACATTGGCTCAGACATGCAGAAGCCAAAAAAAAGGGAAACATAATGATTTTAGTCCTATGCTAATCTGAAAACGAGGATACCTTTATAGAAGGCGAACCATAAGGACAATTAAGGACCTTTCCATCGCTACGTTCTCCACAAATGTCATACATTGCGCAGTAATCATTTGAATGTGTATTACTGAGCAGCACAGACATACAAATACTAAATTAGGAGGGCAATAGAGTAGGCACAGGTTGATAAGAGCAATAAGGCATTTACCTTGCTTCAGAGTGGGTGCTGAGTACATTTATCACCTGCAACATCACAGAGAACTCGCATGATCACAAAGACGAGTTATATATGCAATTACGGAAATGAACAAACAAAGGTTTTTGTTTTTTTGCCTGTAAAAGGAGAAGAGCTGCAAGCAGCTTGAGAGGAGGGATCGCCATGTTTGATGTTTCCCGAAGATCTAGAGAGAAAAGGAGCAATTATCAGCTGAAGCAGTTGGGGTTTAGGCTTGGCATAGTTAGAGAGAGGATTTGACTAATAGAGAGAGAGAGAGAAACCGAATTAAAGAGTAAAAGTAAAGCTCGACGATGATGACGAAGACGATTCGTGTCTTCCTGAGGTTGTTTGCCGTTTTAATATTTTTGGTTAGCAATGCATGTCGTTTTTTTGTTTTTTTAACCATCATCATCATCGAATCGAAGATGAAGAAAAAATTATTATCTTCTTTGTCCTTTGTGATTGTTTCTCTCATCCTCTGAATTAATCGAGAGGGTCACTTGATTGCCTCCAATCGGCGGAGATTGACTGCGCTTTCTTCTTTCCTCGTCATTAGGTAGTCGCCTTTCTCTCTCTCCGATCATTTGTTCAAATCGACTAAAAATTGAGGCGAATCCTCTGTAATTGTTAGGTTTCTGTTGAATTCGATTCTAATATATCTTGCTAGGGTCGTTTGGTGTTGTATACAAGGACGGACTTGAGCCTCCTGATGGGCACAACCTTTTGGTGATTGCATAGAGCAGCTCGACACAATTCCGCTGCTGCTTAGGTGATGGAGTATTACCAGCTCCTTTCTTACTCGGCTCCTGCGTGGGCAAGCTATATGGCCGGTGCTTTCTTGCTTCTCACGCTCTCCCTTTCCATGTATCTGGTCTTTGATCACCTTTCTACTTACAAGAACCCTGAGGTTTGTCTCTCTTTCCATGTATTATGGTTTGCTTATATCTCACCTTAATATCATCTTCTCAGTCTTTTTCTGGTTTTCACCTCTCTCAGGAGCAAATGTTTTTGATTGGAGTCATCCTCATGGTCCCTTGCTATTCCATAGAGTCGGTGAGTAAGTAAGAAAACCAATCAGGTTCTTTTGGATGTAGGTGTGAAGCTTTTAGAGTATAAGCCTCTCAGCTCTGTTATACTTATAATACATTCAATGTATAGTATATATCCAAGCTTTGATGATCTCATAGACTATATTCTTTTTTTTTTGGTTCCACTAAGATATCTGATCCTAACTGTGTCTTCTCTAAACAGTTTGCGTCACTTGTCAAACCAGCCATCAGCGTGGACTGTGGGATTCTACGAGACTGCTATGAATCCTTTGCCATGTACTGTTTTGGTAGATACCTTGTTGCCTGCTTAGGTATGCCCCTTTTCATTTATTCCTTCCTTTGTGTTTTACTGTTAAGACATTGCTATAGTCTAGGCTCCCTCTTTGATTCTCTTGTCATTAACTCCTTTTATCAGGTGGCGAAGAAATGACCATTGAGTTTATGGAAAGACAAGGGCGTAAGAGCTTTAAGACGCCTCTGTTAGATCACAATGATGAAAAGAGAATAATAAAACATCCTTTTCCCATGAATCTTTTCTTAAAACCGTGGAGGCTCAGTCACTGGTTTTATCGAGTTGTTAAGTTTGGTATTGTTCAATATGTATGTTTCCCAGATAATGCTTTCGTATATCATTTTGTTTCTCTTGCGCCAAAAGTATTGTCTTTGAGCTACAAGTAAACTATTTTTATCCTTTGGCAGATGATAATAAAGTCTCTCACAGCCCTCACAGCTCTGATTCTTGAAGCGTTTGGTGTGTACTGTGAAGGAGAGTTTAAATGGGGATGTGGGTACGTTGAAGCAACTTTAACAAGCACAGTACTACCGAGATCAGTTTCATCGTCGACTATGATCAAGGTGGCATCTGACTGTTTTGCATGTGTTTTTTTGTAGGTACCCTTATTTGGCAGTTGTTCTAAATTTCAGTCAGTCATGGGCATTATACTGTCTGGTTCAGTTCTATGGTGCAACAAAAGATGAGCTTGCGCACATAAAGCCGCTGGCCAAATTTCTAACATTCAAGTCGATTGTGTTTCTCACATGGTGGCAAGGTGTTGCCATTGCCATTCTCTCTTCCCTCGGTTTGTTCAAAAGTTCAATTGCACAAAGCTTGCAGTTGAAGACTAGTGTGCAAGACTTCATCATTTGCATCGAGGTAACTGTCTTTTGTTCATGCAAAAGAATGGAACATCACGTCTGATGTTTGTTTTCGAGTGCTAAACTTTTTCTTCGTCATATGCAGATGGGAATAGCTTCCGTTGTTCACCTGTATGTGTTCCCAGCAACGCCTTACGGTCTACTGGGAGACCGCTTTACTGGATCTGTTTCAGTTCTCGGGGACTATGCGTCTGTCGACTGTCCAATTGATCCAGATGAGATAAGGGACAGTGAGAGACGAACAAAGGTTCGCCTTCCACAACCCGGCGTTGATATCAGAAGTGGTATGACCATCAAAGAAAGCATGAGGGATGTTTTTGTTGGTGGTGGTGAATACGTGAGTCTTGTATTTCTTCCATCCAAGTAAATGATTATCTGGTGAAGTTGAGTTTCTGATCACAAAGAGGCTTGCTTATATATGTTGTAGATTGTTAAAGACGTGAGATTCACAGTGACTCAAGCGGTGGAGCCGATGGAGAAGAGCATCACAAAGTTCAATGAGAAACTGCACAAGATCTCCCAGAACATAAAGAAACACGACAAGGACAAGAGAAGAGTTAAGGATGATAGTTGCGTGTCATCAGCTAGTCGGAGAGTGATTCGTGGGATCGATGATCCACTTTTGAATGGGAGTTTTAGTGATAGCGGAGTTACAAGAACCAAAAAGCACCGGCGAAAATCGGGATACACAAGCGCGGAAAGCGGGGGAGAGAGCAGCAGTGACCAAGCTTATAGTGGATTTGAAGTAAGGGGTCGTAGATGGATCACCAAAGAGTAACAACAACATTCAAGGAAATTCTCATGAACATCCTGAGAGAGACCAGTGACGGTAGCTCTCAGTTTGTTCCACCATTTTTTCCTCAAAGCGTTGCAGACGAGGATGGTCACCTAGAAGCCGTTAAATATTGTGTATAGATTTTGAAGATACATAATTATATACCATATATGAGCATATGATTTCTTATTGCAGAAGAATAAACCTCCATGTTTCGTAGTCTTTCTTGCCAAATCAAGCAATTACAAGAATGTCAGGAAGTGACGACATGCCAAAAAGGTTGAATAGTTTGTTTATTCAGGTTCCATGGATAAAAATGGTTTAAATCAGACGAGGGGTCGGAGCTCACCGGTGAGCAAAGCAAAGTTGCGGTGCTGTGACAAGACAGAAGCAACTCTGCTCATCTGAATTCTCTCAGCCAAACCATCTCCTCTCTGTTGTTTAGCGGAATGGAAAATGGTCTGCAACATCTGCAGAGGATCTCCATGACTCACCACCAGAATTGCGCACCTAGAATGAAGAAACACTTTTGCAGTGAGCTGAGCTGAGCAAGTGAGCAGGTGGTGGTGGTGGTGGTAATGATGGGTGCAAGAAGAAAGCATACCTCTGATATTCTGCTTCCATGAGTTCCATGGCAACGGTAAGTCTGGATACAACATCATCAACACTTTCACCTCCTTGTGGTCTCTGGAACGGATCTTTCTCATCAAGGGCCCATATCTCTTCGTACTGTGGCAATTCGAAGATCACTCTCCGTTTGCTATGATGTACACAAATGCTAGGCAAGTAGGTGAGGGAATGATTGACAAAACATAAGCAAACGCACCTTGTCATGTGACTTGAGTTCAAAAGTAGGTCCAAAATAGCGTTCTCGGAGAGCTTCAATCATCTGGTCTCAGCAGCAGTGACAGATTCAATACAAAGAGCATGCGCAGAGAAACATAGAAAGCAGGAGGAATAGTGAAAGAGAAGAACCTTGCAGTGGGGAGCATCAAAAGGGAGATTGAGGACCTGAGCGACAACCCTAGCGGTGTGAGTGGTTCTGGAGAAGGGAGAGTAGCAAATGCGGACCTTGTCCACTGATATCTTACTTTCCTTGAGTTGCTGCAAATCGAATAAAAGAGACAAAGTTATGTTTTGTTTGGGGGGGGGTGATGATGAATTTCATAAATACTGTACATAAAATCTCATAATCATTACCTCAAGGAAAGATTGGCCGGCGAGCTGAGCCTGAGCGACACCATCAGGAGCTAATTGGTAGTCGGAGAGCACGCCGTTTTCCTACAATTCCATGTAAATCAGCAGCGAGAAGACGATAATAAGAGTGAGAGTGTGAGAGAGAGAGAGAGCGAAAGCAAACCAACCATTGAAGAGACGATAAGGCCTCTCTCGTTGGGAATGCTCTTGCCATGTCGGAGCACCCAATATCTGTTGCCTACTAACGACGCCGACGAATCCATCTCTCTTCTCTCTTCTCTCTCTCCACAACTCAAAGGCCTCCGGCTGATTAATTTACCTTTATCAAATTACTAGAATATAATCTAGACTATTTTTTAACAAGAATGTCAAAAATTGTCCTTAATCTAGCTATTTAACATTGAGTTTTGAATGACAAATATTTTATTACAAAACATTTTCCATTGAAATGAATTTTTCTAATATACAAGTGGAAACCGTAGTACGAGTGAAATACGGCAAAATAAAAAGGGTCTGCGAGTATATAGTCAACCGTTGCCTAATCAGAAATACTGTATGGTTCGCTGCTTTTGGCTTCTGCGTATTTGAACTGATTTATTCACAACTACAACTAACTTGTTGACATGTATATATATTCAGGAAGAAATCGAAGAATGATTGGATTGTCATTTGTCAAACATGAAAAGATGAAGATTGGGCAATTTGTGACACGTCTCTCTCCCTCTCTCAGAGCTTTAAGCAAGACGCTGCCATAGATTAAAAAAAAAAAAAAAAACAGAGTTAGCCAACAAGAAAAGTAGAAAAGAGAGAGAGAGAGAGAGGAGGAGACGACTAAGGAAAGTGAGAGTACCTTGTGACTTGAATGCATGAACCACCATGGACCCTTGCTCCACATTAATCTTCCCAAAAAAAACACATATAAGGATTAGATTACACTTTGACTTGCAACTAAAGATGGATAGAGAGAAAGAAAGCTGTTTGGTTTACCTGGCGAAACCAGCGAGCATCCGCAAGCCCATGAACATGCTCAGCCCAATCCAGACTCCACTTATCCCCAAGCCTGCCTGTGCATAGAGCATGAACGCTGATGATATTGCTCCCACCACCATCATCGACCAAGCTGCATATCCGAAGTCCGACATCCCATAGTGCAGCCCATCAAATATAAACGCTTGCGCTGTGATAGGTTGTGTTGCCGCTACAAACTGGATTTCAATACGTAAGTTACGTCGGGAACCATTGAAATCCATCACTGTACCACTTACTTTCTATCTCAATTCTCAAATAACACCACTCACCAGTACACCTTTTCTCACTATCTGCAGAACTTGAGGGTCTTTGGAAAACAAACCAGCTATCGAATCAAATGACAACCCCAACACAATAGCCAATGCAATGCCTGTCACCACTCCTATCTGTACAGAATTTGATGGTTAAAGAATTTCGAGGAAACAAGTGAATATGAACAAGTGAGCTCAGACAGACCTTGAGAACAAAAGTCGTAACCTCTTTCACACCGTCAAAGTCTCTTTTGGATGCACAACTCGCGATTAAGGCCTGATCAAACACAACACAGCACAAAGGCTTATTACCATCCCTCACAAGTCGCAACTATCTCAAAAACATTTTATACCAAGTAAACAAGGAAAGTGACAGCCCAAATCTGAAAACCAAGCTGGGAATGTAATACCTGTGCAGATGAAGCGAGTGCATCAGTAAGCATAGATACCGCCAACCAGACTTGCATGCATATCTGATGAGCTGCCATTGCAAAAGCTCCTTGACGAGCGGCCATTGACGTGGCAACAGTCATGGTCACGAGCACTGACAGAGTCCTCCCAAGAACGAATCCCCCTTCAAATCAAGTGCAAGGTTTCAAACCTAGATACTTAAGTTTACACTTCCATAAACATCATAACTGAGAGATTGTTGCCTGCATACCAGATTTTAGGTAATCCCCGAACTTAAGAGAGCCCAACTTTGGAGGAAGCAGGATAACTCTTTTGTTCAAAAGCATAATCATTAAAATGGCAACAGTGTACCTGAGAATCAGAGAAAAGCCATCCTCCCAGGTTGAGAAAAGGAGAAAAGGCTGGAGAAGAAGAAGAAGAAAAAGGTTAAGATACATACTGGGATATGACGCTAGAGATGGCTGCCCCGGCTACACCCATCCTGAACTGGTAAATAAACAGAGGGAACAAAAATACAGCCAGAAAATTACCAATACCTGCATTATGGACAATCAGAGGATGAGTGAGCCAATGGAAACGGACAATGCTAGCCAGATAAGATTTAAAGAAAAAAGGAATGCTAGCCTAAACAGTAGACTGGAGTTTTGGTATCCTTGAATCCACGGAAAATGCCTTGAAGAGCTAAAGAAACCACATAAGCAGGAGCACCAAGCGCCCTAAGGAGAAGAAACTGGCGTGCGGGGATGAACATTTCTGACATCTGAGTATATCATATGACAAGCATTTATGAGCATAGATGAAACGCAATCCTACATGGCATACATATGACAAGCGCGAAAAGGAGTGGACTTACAGGGTGTACACCCATGAGCCTTAAAAAAGGAGCAGATGCCAAAGACAAAGCCACGGCCTCGAAGAAGCCAATTCCAATGGCTAAGACTAGCGCTGTGGACACTGAAGACAACTGTTTCCTTTCTTCTCCTAAAGCAGTGTCACCTTGAGCGGCAAGATCCTCAGCTACGAAAGAAGTGGCGACGCTGAGGAGGGGAATGTTGAAGAGCTTTGATATGGTATTGAAGATGGACATGGAGACGGCAGCCGAACCCAACTCTACAGATCCTGCAGATTCGAAACAAGGAATCCTTGGCAAGTAAGATGAAGCAGATTCTCACTTTCTCAGTCAGGTCAGGAGAAGGAAAGAAAGGAAAGGAAAGAGTACCGAGCCTTCCAATGTAAGCAGTCTCCATGAGCTGAGTCAGAGGATCGATGGCCTGGCCAGCAATGGCAGGAAGAGAGAGCAGGACGAGTTCTCGTTTGAGATCGAGAGGCAGAGGGCGTGATTTGGCATTTCCATGAACCTCCCTGGGAAAGCAAGGATAGAGATGAGAGCATTATCGAACACATAGGCAGGCAAGAAGCGTGGAGGTTAATCCAATGCCAAATGACAATCCATCGAAAGGGATAACGCAACACCTCAGCAGCCTTACGGGAGTTTGTCTATTGAAGCGTTAGAGTCATCTCTGACAGCACCACAGTCAGGAGGGAGTTTATTAATCCGACGACTCAATTTCAAGTGTTGATTGCTCTGACTCTGACTCTGACTGTGATGAAGGGCCTGGTTTTGGGGATTTGTTCGCATAGGTAGAAAACTTGCTGCTTGTCTTGTCACTTTGCCAATTCTATTTCCATTTCTATTTGTATTCGTCAAGGACACCGCTACTTGCTTCCCACCCACTAATCTAGCAGTCGACTCCATCTGCAATTACACGATTTCACATAGATACAGAGCAAAAAGCTTCAGTGCGAAATAACATAATCGCTAGTCGTATATTCAGGTTGGCTTAGTACATGAAATTTGGATTACTGTGCAAGTGAGAGATACAAACAAAAAAAAAAGATAGATGAAGCCGAAATAGGAGATATTACGAGTTGATACAAAAGTACAAGTAGAAAAAAAAGGAGCAAGGAGTCGAAAAATAGGACTTACGTTCTCTGTCGAGTGGTGCGGTTGTGGCCTGAGACTGAGAGAGTTAAGATCGTCCGTCGAGGAAGGAGAAGATGATGGGACTCTCGGGACTTGGGAGGGTTCAATCAGGGGTTAACCGTTGCAGGAGCTTAAGGCGGTTTTTGTTTCTTCTTCTGTTTCTCTATTTGGGCTTATCTTACACTAATTGGCCCATTAAGGCCCACTTCAAACTATATACAGTCAAACACACACGAGATGCATTTTACAGTTTTTACTTGTATTCAAATTAGCATGTATGATGATGATCATGTATTAAATTCTCTAATATCTATATATATAAAAATAATCAGAAAAGACTTGTTCTTCTCTGTTTTCATCCTTGCATGACATTGTCATGTCATCATGTAATTGACATGTTCTGTTATTTGACTCAAAACACAACTTTCTAATATTAGCTTTTATTTGTTTCTTTTTTTTTTTTCGAATAAACCCATTCAAACTAGAAAATACTTGAAGGAGTTGAGTTGGCAAATAATAAAAATCTTGGTTGGATAAGTTTGTTTTTGGAGGATATCAACAAATATAGATAAGAATCTAATGAGATCATCAAACAGTTAACTAAATAAAAATATATAAGATTGACAGATCGGGGAGAGAGCGGGAGATTCGGTAAGGGGTTGCTGGGAGGCATAATTAAAAACAAAACAAAACCCCAGTCCTCTTTTAATTGTGTTAAATTGTTTGTTTGAGATTAGTTTTGGTTTTGGAGTCTGTCCATAGTTTCTCGGCAACCAACTTCTCCTCTGCCTTGCTTAACAAACAATGGCCTCTTCTTCTTCCTCCTCCTCCTCTTCTTCCTTTTGCACACTCTCCTTCCCCTTTCTCTTGTTTTCTTCTTATTCTTTGTAGCCTTTTCTCCTACCCTAAACCCTATTGTCTTGTCTTGTCTTTGAATCTTTGAATTAATTAATTTAACGATGACGTCCTTAAGTCTCAAGTTGATGACGAAGAAGAAGGACTATGGCGCAGAACCAGTAAAGAAAAAGCTAGTCATCGCCGGGATCCGCCACCAGTTACTGCTTCTCCTTCGGCGCCGTCACCGTCTATTCCCGCTGGTCTCTGCCGTCTCAGGATGTCTCCTCTTCTTCCTCCTCCTCTCGTTTTCCTTCCTGTCTCCTCCTCCCTTGATCCATCTTCCACCCCTACGCGTATGTTTCAACATACATATCTGTCTACATTATCTAACTTTATAACCAAAAAAGTAATTTTGGTATGGTTTATATACAGAGGAACAATCAAGTGGCCGTGGAACCCAATTCAGATCCGGCGACGCCTTTTCTTGTACCTGTACGTTTTAACTCTCTTTTTTCTTCTTCTTAAAGAATTTTGGGGTTTAACCGGGTTTTAAGGACGTAACATGATGATTGTGTAATCTCAGGAAAATGGCGGAAGATTGGACCATCGTCAATTATGGAGCTCGAGATTGTCCAAATCGTATTATGGCTGCAGCAATGCCACTGACACCTTCTCTTCTCGAGGTACATTAATTAATTAATATGTTTTGACTAGCGAGCAGCTTCAATATTAAAATCTTGGTTGATCAAATATTAATGGTGGGCATGCAGTTACGAGAAGGCCGCAAAGCGATCGCTATTTACTGATAGTTACAAGCGGAGGGCTAAACCAGCAACGAACAGGGGTGAGAGACTTGTTTCTTCTTAGTTTTGTGATTTAATTGTGAACCAACATCCCTTCTGATTCTTGTTTAATTTCTTTTATCCTATGAAACAGATAATAGATGCAGTGGTGGCTGCATACATTCTAAACGCCACTCTTGTGGTGCCTAAACTTGACCAGAATTCATACTGGAAGGACGCCAGGTCATCTCTTGTTCCTTGCTCCCTAAGAATATGAATATATCTGTGTTTTTTATTATTAAGCTTGGACGTTTTCTTCTAACCTTGCAGCAATTTTGAAGAGATATTCGACGTTGATCGGTTCATAACGCAACTCTCAAAGGACGTGAACATCATCAAGGAGCTTCCAAAAGAAGAAGAGCCAAGACTGCTTCAGGGACTACAGTCCATGCGTGTTCCCAGGAAGTGCACTCCCTCTTGCTACATGGAGCGTGTTCTCCCCATTCTTAACAAGAAACATGTCCGTTCCTTTTCCTGATCCATTTTATATATATATATATGCTCTCTCAAGTCTCTCAACTTAATTAATTGTTGGCATGCATGCATGCATGCAGGTTGTACAACTGTCCAAGTTCGATTACAGGCTGTCCAACGAGCTTGACCCAGAGCTCCAGAAGCTGAGGTGTAGAGTGAACTACCATGCCTTGAGATATACAGAGTCTATCAACAGGATGGGCCAATTGCTGGTGGACCGCATGAGAAGCAAGGCCAAACACTTCGTGGCCCTCCATCTCAGGTTCGAACCTGACATGCTGGCTTTCTCCGGATGCTACTACGGGGGAGGCCAGAAAGAGAGGCTCGAACTCGGAGCTATGCGAAGAAGGTGGAAAACATTACATGTGAGAAACTTGCTTGCTTCTTTCTTTCTGAAAATTAAGCTCTCTGTTTTCTTTTTCTTTTGTATAATAACAATTGTATTGGTGGGGCAATGCATGTGCAGGCGGCAAACCCTGACAAGGTACGGCAGCACGGGAGATGTCCCCTGACGCCAGAGGAGATCGGTCTGATGCTCAGAGGCTTAGGTTTCGGGAGAGAGGTTAACTTGTACGTTGCATCAGGGGATGTGTACGGAGGGGAGGATACACTTGCACCGCTCAGAGCTCTGTTCCCAAATCTCCATACAAAAGAGACTCTCACCTCCAAGCAAGAATTGGCTCCCTTTGCCAACTTCTCATCGCGCATGGCTGCTCTTGACTTCATCGTCTCTGATGAGAGCGACGCTTTTGTCACCAACAACAACGGCAACATGGCTAGAATCCTAGCTGGAAGAAGGTACACATCTACTTTCTCTCGTAGCATTTTACATTTTTCACACTTGACTCTTTCCTCTGACTAGCTATCACATGTTTGTGTGCAGGAGATACATGGGACACAAAGTGACCATCCGTCCAAACGCCAAGAAACTCTACAAACTCTTCACAAACAGACACAACATGACGTGGGATGATTTCTCCTCCAGTGTCCGAAGCTACCAGAAGGGTTTCATGGGGGAACCAGATGAAGTCAAACCGGGGGACGGGGAGTTCCATGAGAACCCATCCTCTTGCATTTGTCGAACCAAGCCCACACAAAAACATGTAACCCCGCAGGATGACTCATCAGAGTACTCAGACATTGGCAATGTCCCCCCCCACAGTCACTAGAAGCGATTTGGATCAATCACAAGTTGATCAACACATCTTCTCATAATAAGCCCCATTCATTTTTCGCTAGAGATATTCTTATTTTCGTTTGCTCATCAGTTTAAGTTGCAAGGTTACAGATAGAAAGAATGGTGTTGTACATAATCCATATATATATATATAAGACTTTTTTTGTACATATCCATCCATCCAGTTTTTTGTGTAGCTAAAGATCGTCAGATTATGATTATTCCTCTGAGTTATAAACAACAATAATAATGAATGTTACAATACAGAAATACAAGGAAGAGGGTCTCTCTTAAGTCATTTCCAGATGTGATCGTCGCATGGATAACAACCTTCCTGTGCAATGTCGGTGATCTGAAGGCCGGCGTCGTAGGTCTTGCCAGCTTCCCAGTTGGCCGGGAGAAGCCTCTCCGACCGGAGCATTTTGCCGTCGTAGCCAGAAGTCACCACAAACCTGAACTGAAGAGCTCCCGTGGGCACTTTGTCGGTGAACCAGACGGCGCCGTGGCTTCTGGTCATGTAACTCCAGTGTGAGGAACCAACCTGAGCAATGTCGATGGCTACCACTTCGGTTTGGCCTCCTTGGAACAAGAGCTTTATCGCCAAATCATTTGGCTTTTTGCTTGATTCTTCCACTCTCACCATCATCGTCTTCTTGTTTCCGAAGTCGCAAGGCACTCTGTATTCGTTTGTTACATTATTATTATTACCAAAGAGGTAAATTAATTAAGGAGAGAAAAGAAGATGCTAAAAAGTAGTAATGGAAAGCTCACCTCTGGTATTCAATGTCGACAAGGCCTTGCTTGAGAAGATCTCTGTCAGCGCCGAGAAGAGGCTTGGCCATGGCCCTGAAGGCTCTGCTGCTGAGGACGAGATCGGTGTGGTTGCTCTTGTTGAGGTCGGTGACCATGACGGTGGTGCCTTTGGTGCTGCACAGAGCCGGGTTGGTGCATCGGACCTGGAAGCAAGAACCGCAGCCGGCGCCGTCTTTGAAGAGGGAAGGAACGGCGGCAGCAATGTGACCGGCGAAGAAACCCGTGGCCAAAGAACCATAGGCACAAGCTCCGGCTGAAACAAGTAATTAACAAGAGAGATGCTTGATGAGAATATTTAAACAAGAGAGAATTATATAATCTGTAAAGAGAAAAAAGAGGAGTGGAGTAGAGTACAGGAGAGAGCAGAGGCAGAGGAGAAAGAAGAAGCCTTAGAGCGGTGAAGACATCGGTCGCAGGCGTCAACGGATGAGGAGAAGAGGAAGACCAAGACGATTGCGACGAGGAAGAGACAGCGTCTTCCCATTTCCCTTATTTTACTCTTTTTTTTTTTTTTTTTGTACTTTGTGCGAGAGAGAGAAGAGAAGATGGAATTAAAAGAATTGTTGATGCGATGAAAAGAGAAGAGAGGAATGAGAGCGAGTATATATATTATAATAACAAGAATAAGAGTAGTGGAGATTGGAGGAAAAGAAGAAGAAGACGACTTGTTAATGGGTGGCAGCTCAGCAATTCACAGAGACACACGTCATTAGATGATTAGTAGATAACCAAACAGCTGGCTTCTTTACTTATCTTCCACCATAATAATAACACTTACCACAAGTACGCGTTTATCCCTACTTTATACTATAAGTCAAAAATATCTGATTCTTTTTCGACAGCGACAATCTTCAACTGAGTTTTAGTTTTAGTTTTAGTTTGAGTGGTAGATAACTAAATATCTACTTCTGACTAAATTTATTTTTATTCCCAAAGTGGGAAAACACGAAACCAATAGGTCCAATACCACTTACCATTCGCCAGTTTGAAAATGGGGGGATGACGTGGCATTGCACCGACTCTTTCCCATCACCAGCTGTCTCTCCTCCTCCTCCTCGGGCTTTGTACATGTCGGCATAGCAGAGTTTAGTTTACCAATCAAATCTTCTCTGGGACACGTCATCCATACCCTTCTCTAATCAAATCAATTTTCTTTATATCTAACCAAATCTCTAACAATATGCATATATTTGATTGTTTCTAATTTCTGCCAACAAAATAAAACAAAAATCTTTAAAAAAGTTATTAGTGCATTTAATAATAGAGGTTAATGGCGCCTTCCGAAGGAGGGTAAAGATAAGAACAGATTCCATAAGTGTCGGATGTATGTTGTTACTGTCCAAACCCAATTTAACTTTCCTTCTTTTTCTACCCTTTTCATCACTTTTGCGTTTGCTTCTACACACGTTTTGCTATATTGTTTTGTTAAGAATAACATGAAAAACGCAAATGGGAGAGGTAGGTAGAACCGTAGAAGAACTCAAATCAAAACAGTTCCTACTGCCAGTAACAAAGCAGTCTACACATATAATAATTTGATGTAGGGCATTACAAGTCTCTCCGCCCGCGATTAACTTGCTACTGGTGTTCTTATTTAAAGTTTTGTCTGCTCAAAATGTTGATTAAAAAGCAATCAAATCTTCAGTATTCGACAGATTGGTAACCAAGAAACATCCATGTGAGAACAACTCTGTCACATCCACGGCATTGATTACGACATGTGAAGATATCTTCATACCCCTCCCTCTCTTTCTTCTTCTTCTTTTTTTGTCATAATTCTATATCAACTATTGATATATTTTTTGTTGGTTAGGGATGCAGATCAAAACTAAAGAAACACTCTTCTTGCCTGATCCTGAGACATGATGGAATTTGGTAAACGCTAATGTCCACAACATGAATTTGGTCATCTTCTTTTTCTAAATGGGGGGATTTGCATTACTCAATTTTAGCCATCTTGAGCTCGTTGATTATATAAGCCCATCGTCTGATTCGGCCCACTTCAACTATCATTCAAATTCAATTATACA